CCTACTAGTCTCTCAGTTTTAAAGATATCGAATTGAAACTTTGCACACACCCTTCTTTCCTTTGCACGCAGTATATAAGTCGGAACGGCCGGGATCGGCCGACTATATCCTATAGCTGCCATATAACTGATTGATCGGAAATGCAATAACTTTGGTGTTTGTAAAGTTAGGAAGTTGGGATTTTCTATGGGTTTTATATTTGGCCAATCAATCTGACCTACCAAATTTCATACGGATCTGCCGACTATATCTTATAGCTGCCATATAACTGAACGATTGGAAATGTCATAACTTTGGTGTTTTTAAAGTTAGGAAGTTGGGACTTTTTATGAGTATTAAGAATGCATCATATGAATAATTTTGAAGAATATAATTTACAGAATATTCTGCAAGGGTATATCAACTTCGGCTCCGCCCGAAGTTAGCTTTCCTTTCTTGTTAGGGTTAATTTTGGTATGAGTGTATATTTAAGAGTTATATTTGAAAGCGAGAGCATAGAGTAAGATTCTATATAGAGGTTTCATTTGCTCTGCACGATCCTCTGCCAAACCTCTGCTTAGAGCCATGTTCGAAGCGAACAAAGGTTTCGGTCCACCATTTGCGAAGCACGAGAAATAGTGTAGGGAGATCTCGCACTTGCCCTTAACAATGAGAGCGAGCATCGCAGCAATAAGTATTTAGCACTGGACTCAAATGCATTATAATTGACAAAATGGAAATGATAATATTACTATATGTATGTATATGTATATTATAGTTAATTCCTGCAAAATCGGTAATTTCTTACGCATTTTTATTTGCAATACGGATAGTCTCAGCTCAATTTTTGTTTTCTCATATGATAATACAACATTTAAACAATATGTGTGAAAATTTGCATCTCCGGCGGCACCCCGAAAAAAAGGTGGTTCGAGTTTTTTTTAAAGGCACTTGAAATTCAAAAAACTCTTTTTTCGCCCAAACATCCGAGATTTGTTGTTGTAAAAATAATACATTTTCCCTAAAACAAAAAAAACTTGGAGAAGTACTGTACAAAATTTCAAAACAATTCACACACTAGATTTTATAGGATCGTGTACACCGAGTTTGAAAATGGCAAATTTTTAGGAAAGTTTTAGACTCCCAAAAATCGAATATAAAACGTTCAACTGCCCATAACTTCGGAAGTTTTACTTGATCTAATCTAAAATTTTAACACAGTATTCTTGAGATCCCAATTAAAGACGCTTCTTGCACTTTTGGAAGGGAAATAACTTAATTGCACTAATTTTTGTCAGTATCATCAGTCTTAAATCGAACTATCAATTTAGTATAGTCATTTATTTAAAATTCAAGGCAACATGCGAAGTTTGGTTTGGAAATAAATGTTATATTTTTTCCTACACCTTTTTACCTATGTACCTTATTCCGAAAATTTTTGCATTATCCTGTCTATATTGGCCTAACTTCATAACTTCGCTATTTATACACACCGTTGCATAAAAACTACATATCGGTATAATGTCAGGATTCATGCAAAAAATAGTTGGGGTAGGACTAATAACTGAATCGCTTGTTGACAAACAATTTCAGCACATGGAAAAATCAACAATTTTTCTTATTTTAAAATCATTAAAATTGTTTGTTTATTTGTATCTTAAGTTAAAAACAAAGAAATAAATTCTAAGATTCTACAATTCAACAATGTTTGCCATTTGTGGGACAACGGCTGAAGTGGCCCTTTAGGCGAAAAAGAGTTTTTCCGTTTTATACCCTTGGAGAGTCTAAAGTTTGCAACGCAGTGAGGGAAACATTTCCGACCCTTTGAAGTATATACATATATTCTTGATCAGTATCACCAGGAGAGTCGATCTATCCATGTCCGTTCGTCCGTCTCTACGCAAACTAGTACGTCAGTTTTAAAGCTATCTGCTTGAAACTTTCCCAAAAATTTTTTTTCTATTGCAGGTAGTATAGAAGCCTGTTCGGGCGACTTTATCATATAGCTCCCATAGGAAGAATAAAAAAAAAACAAGAAAGGAAAGCTAACTTCGGCCGGAGCCGAAGTTGATATACCCTTGCAGAATACTCTGTAAATTATATTCTCCAAAATTATTCATATGATGCATTTTAATACTCATAATAATCCCAAGTTCCTAACTTTAAAAACACCAAAGTTATGACATTTCCAATCGTTCAGTTATATGGCAGCTATAGGATATAGTCGGCCGATCCTTATGAAATTTGGTAGGTCGGATTGATTGGCCAAAAATAAAACCCATCAAAAATCCCAACTTCCTAACTTAACAAACACCAAGGTTATGGCATTTCCGATCAATCATTTATATGGCGGCTATAGGATATAGCCGGCCGATCCTTATGAAATTTGGTAGGTCAGATAAATTGGCCAAATATAAAACCCATAGAAAATCCCAACTTCCTTACTTTACAAACACCAAAGTTATGGCATTTCGGATCAATCAGTTATATGGCAGCTATATGATATAGTCGTCCGATCCCGGCCGTTCCGACTTATATACTGCGTGCAAAGGAAAGAAGGGTGTGCAAAGTTTCAATTCGATATCTTAAAAACTGAGAGACTAGTTCGCGTAGAAACAGACAGACGGACAGACAGACGGACATGCTTATATGAACTCAGGAGGTGATCCTGATCAAGAATATATATACTTTATAGGGTCGGAGATGTCTCCTTCACTGCGTTGCACACTTTTTACCAAAATTATAACACCCTTTGCAAGGGTATAAAAATCTTTAAGTATAACTGTTGCTTTAAATTTTTTTTTTGTTTTTTGGGATTTGGTAATTTTTTCATATTATGGAATTACAGTTTTAATTAAATTAATATCGGACAACATCATCATATACATATGTATGTAGCTGCCATAGAAACGATGGCAAATGCAGCGCAAAATCGACATAGTTTCATTGTTTTTAGTAATATTGGCATAGAAATCGAAATGTAGTCGATTTGTAATAACTGCAAGGGTATATAAACTTCGGCTTGCCGAAATTTGCTTCCTTTCTTGTTTTTTTTTAAGTAGTGTCTGTATTAGAGGACGGAATGTTCGAGTATCTGTACTTCTTTGTTTTGGGGGTGCGCTCGAAACACTTTGAAGGCCGACTTGATAAAGATAAATGTCAGAATAAAATCATAACAAAACTTTAATTACGGCACTGAAAACAAAAAAATAATATAACTGCGCTGAGCAAAACTGAATTAAAGCTACGATTATTTATTTAATCATATTTTATTGAGATTGAGCAATCAGCTTGAAAATACGCTCAGCATTCTCGGCTACCTGACACTGTTGCATCAGAAGCATCTTCTGCAATTATTTGTGCATTAGAGGAAGTCAGCTACCTCGAGCTGTCGACTAATGTCAGTTTAAGTGTGGCAATGAATAGAAAACATACCGAGGAAGTAAACCGGGGAAAAGCGAGCCTATGGGAAAACAGTCGGGCAAATGCATCTGGCTCCAACCGGCAACTAAACGCTGGACATGGAATGATATTAGCAATAGGAACGCCTGTAACTGCATCCACCATACAATTCGCAATGTCATATGTCATTAATTAAGTAGATTGCCCGAAAATGGCAGCCCACGCAACAGGTTTCAAAAGTTGCTGCTGTTATAATAAGTGCATTGGAAGAAAACTGAGAACCATTTTGGCAATATGTATGTATGTTTATTAAAATCAAATTTATTCCCAGCTGTTGATATTGAGTTGGGATAACAAAGTGGAGTCACTGCAGACTCAGTAGAGTCCAAGTAGTCCGTTATTGTTATCAAATGGTAGCCAAACACGGAAATAAAGTAGTTTAAAATTAAACGAGGATGGAAGCTAACTTCCATCCATAAAAATTGCTAAACCTGAAAAAGTAGCGAAAAGAATAAAGTATACATAAATAAACTAGATTTGCATCGTTTGATGTCAATTGCTTTTATACTGTAAAAATGTAATATAAAAATAGAAAAATTTTTCCTACGGAAGCTATAAGATATAGACGTCCGATCGGCAAGCGCTTTTACCCTAATCAAGATATGCGTAAATAAATAAGACTTGGAAAAATTAATGTCAGTAGCTTACACACTGCGCGAAAAATTCTGAAAATCATCAAAGTTGGACCGATTTCACCCTATTGTTCCTATGGGAGCTATAGGATATAGACGTCCGATCGTCACGCGCTTTTACCTTAATCAAGGTATGCATAAAAAAATACGATTTGGAAAGATTCATGTCAATTGCTTATATACTGTGCGAAATATCCTAAAAATCATTAAATTTTAACCGATTTCACCCTATTGTTCCTATGGGAGCTATAGGATATAGACGTCCGATTGCCAATCGCTTTTACCCTGATCAAAGTATGCATAAAAAAATAAGATTTGGAAAGATTTATGTTAATAGCATTTACACTGCGCGAAATATCTTCCATTCTTGCAAGTTATATCCGATTGTTCCTATGGGAGCTATAGGATATAGACATCCGATCGAGGCGGTTTTCAAACTTGATCTGCGTACACATTTTTTAGGACGACTGTGAAAGTTTCAGATCGCTAGCTTTTAAACTGTGCTCGCAAACGGTATTGAAACAGACGGACAGACGGACGGACGGAAAGACGGACATGGCTATATCGAATCCTCTATTGATCCTGATCAATAATATATATACTTAATGGGGTCGGAAACGTCTCCTTCACTGCGTTACAAACTTCTAACCAAAATTATAATACTCTCTGCAAGGGTATAAAAATCGAAACGAAAGGGCAAAATTCGTGATATGAAAACGTTAAGTTCATTCAGTTAATTTACAGAAAAAATGTATTCCTTATATAATCAGTTCAAAGTACATATGTAATTTTTTATTACGTTAAAAAAGGATAATCAAAAAATGTTTCAAAATTGCAAAATGGTAACTGTTTAATCTGGAGAATTTTATATTTTTGATACCTACTTGGTACGTAGGTACTTTAAAGAAAATAAAAGTTAAATAAATATTCCTTCTTAAATTATTGTTACGAGAATAAAATTTATTCCCATTAACTGTAAAATTTATTACCTCCAAAAACGAAAAACTTTCTTTTGAAATTAATTAAAAATTCGTACAATATTTATAAAACAATTTGGGTGTACTTGATATTTTGCTGAAAATAAATTAAGTTTCGGGATGACACGGTGAGTATATCAAAGAAGAAAAATGAGGGAGAAACAAAAGGCACAGAATGGTTAGAGTGCAAAACAATATTCGTTCAGTCATCGATAATCTCAGTTATCTTGGCACTCTCGGCGAACACGTCGGGGATCTCTACATCGTCGGACCGCTCGATGATCCGATAACGCTCCGCTGCCGCCAGACACTGGATGGCCACCTCCCGGGCTTTGGCTCGCGTTTCATCCGGCAATTGGCCCAAGCCGCTCAGCAGCTCCATGATGTCCGTCTCGAAAAGCTTTTTGGCGATTTCCTCGCCAGAATTTATCATGTTTAGGATCACCACAATGCCACGGTGCTGAACTGCCGGACTGGGGTTAGCGATTAGAGTGTGCAAAATGTCCAGGCAGCTAGCAATGCCCAAGATTTTCTCACAGCACTTAACGGACACCGATGTAAGCATGGCCAGAGCTCCTGCACAGGCCGTGGCCGTCTCCTCGTCCTCATCCTCGGAGAGCAGTGCCAAGAATTTTACCCGATCGTTCTCGCCCTCAAACATTTTCACCACATCTTCGCTCATCACCAAATTACACAGACATTGGGCAGCTGCCCGTGTAAGGTAAAGATGATCCTCCATTAAATAGAATTCAATCTTGGACACGCCCTGCTCCTTGATGATCCTCTGGCGCACACTTTCGTTCATGCTGGCCAGATTAGTAAGCGCCATTAGGGATTCAAAGTTTTCCAACGCCGTGCAGTCCTGCTGGAGCAGGTTTAACAAAGGACGAATTACATCAAGGGATCTTTGACCGCTGAAAGCCACCTCAGGGTTGATCGTTATGCCAATCCTGGCCAATGCCTGACTGGCATGGCGTTTGCCCTTTTCTGTACCTTCCAGCGCCATGCGAAGAAGCGCCTTAGTTCCTCCTTCTTGAACCACTTTTCCACGTAGCTCTTTCAATCCACAAATTGCATTCAAGACTCTGGCAATCAGCTCCTGGGAATTATGACTCTCTGTTTTGGCTAAAGCACACAAAGCAGTTGTTATGCCCTCATTTGCCAGCACTGTAATACGCTTGTTGATAAAATCCACATCATCAAGCTCGTGCTCCTCCGGTATGTGTTGTTTAGCAAATTTGGCTAGCTCAACCATCTCTGGCAATAGCTCCTGCTTCTCATAAGCATTGCACAGATTTACAAAAGTGGTGACCACACCATAAAGACAGGACTGGTCTCCAGCGCGGGCCAAGTCCCTAAGTGCGTGAATGGAAGCCGTGTCCTCAATTAGCTTTTCCTTACATTCAGCATCAAGTGTCAAATAAGCCAGACCATCCGCTGCCCATCGACGGATATCCCTGTCCTTTCCAGGCTTAATCAGAAACCGACGACATGCCTCCGCCAATTTTAGAGCGGCTCCATCGCCAAATGGACGGATGGCCGCATCCTGGCCACCATAACTCCCCAGCTTGCAAAGGCCCACCAAGGCGCGAACTCGAACCGCATCGTTCTTAGAGTGGTAGAGCCTCTTCAAGATTTCAACACCCTGTTCGCAAAGAGCCTTGGCCTTGTCCTTTTTAGAAGAAGCGGCGATAAGACATTCGCAGGCCACTCGCTGCTGCAGCTCATCGTCGGTGGTGGCCATGGCTAGTATCATTTGGAGGATGCCTGTTAAGACGGAATAATATTATTCATATACCAAAAAAGATTTCCTTTTTTTAATAGGCTTTTTTGAATAGGCTTATAAAATGGGATCGGTAAATTACACCCCCGCATTGTGGATTAAAACTTTCCAGTGCACTTTATAATTTACTACTCACCATCTCTGGCCACAACCTGATTGCCCACATCCAAAGGACCGTTCAGCAGAGCAGTAATCGCAACAGTGACCCGTACTTTGGACTCCATGTCGGGCGCCATAAGCTTGTCCTTAATGTACTCATCGATCTGGTCCGTAAACTTCAGCTTAGCCTCATCGTAGTACATGTTCTCATAGATGCGGGCCAGACAAACGGAAGCAATCGTGGATGAGGAACCGGTGATGTCCATGGCACTTTCATACTTATAGTCCGCTAGTTCCGAACACACGTCTAAAAGACGGCATAGACCCCTGATCTCTACCAGGCGCTCTGCCCACTCTAGAGCAGTGTAATGAACATTTCTGGTGATCAGCTCAATAACAGCATCCCTAGCCGATCCGGAAATGGTGCGATCTGTAATGCTATAAACCAGACACGTGAGAAGTGTGTCAATTTCGCGATTGTTCTTCGAGCACAACTCCTTGTCTGGCTTGGATTCTGTTTTGTTTTTCAGTCCGGACAAAGCATTTAGAATTGTTTGCAAGCAAAACTGGGCGGTGGCAACACATTCCTCGTGTTTCTGGTCGAGAACCCTCATAAACCAGGGTACACCCAGTTCCGTTAGAACGCCTTTGGTTCGCTCCACGCTATTTTCGCAAAGAGCTGCTACCACGCGCACCATGTTCACATAGATGTCCTGATCCTTTTCTACCTTTGTTAGGGAGGCTATTTTGTTGATACAGTGATCCTTATAGAGCAGCTCGGCGCCAGTCTGCTCCTTGGCCAAAACTACTAAGTTATTGGCTGCGGAACGGCGCTTGTCGATGGGAGTGTCCAAGTTAAAGGTAAGGTCCATCATCTGCTTGACTTTCGTGGAAGTCTTGGCATTACGGGCCACTCGCTCCTCCACGATGATATGAAGTCTCTGGAGCATGGGCTGTACGGTCTTGTTGCTGGGATCCGCCTTAAACAAAGCGGTGGCATCTTTGTAGGCCTCTTCAAACTTTTCTAGAGCCTCATAGGCTTGCGCCCTGCGAAATAGAGCTTTGGGATCCCCAGGAGCCGCGTTCAACGATTCCGTGCAGTCCTCCACGGCTTTTTCATACTTTTCCAACTTCAAATATGCAGCAGCACGATTTTTGTAGAAAACTGGCAGCTCCTTGTGCTTGGAGCCTGTCCTTATGGCACTCCCATAGTGCTGCACTGCCTCCTCCCAGCGGGAGGCCTTGAAAGCCTCGTTGCCCTTATTTTTGTAGCTGCCGGCATCGGATACTTCCTCGCTGATGGTATTCGTCATGGTTGCACAATTTTTTGTCTAGAAATACACAAACTTTAGCTGCAACTTCCTATTAACCACAGATGACTCACAAAATTTCGGTTGCCAGAAACTTCTCGATCGCTTTCGAACACACACAAAAATAAATACAGATACAGATGGTTAGCGGAAAAATGGGCACTCTGAGTGAGAAAATTCAACGTGCGGTGTTCTATATATAAATAAGATCGGAAAAGAACCAAACCAAAATAGTTGCAACAGCTGCCATTCGAAGCGAATCGGCCACACAGCTGTTCGAGGCAAAGCTGAAATGTATGTATGGCTAATTTTGACTTTAAAGTCAAAAAATGTAAGTCAATGTTTATACCGTACAAGAAAGGCAATAAACACTGCAAGCCAAAAAATATATACCATTGCCGTTATATGATATTGTTTTTAATTTTTTAAAAATCAATAATGAATTTTTGAAATCATAAAATTAACGTACATATATTTGTATCTCTAATTACTGCCTGTTAATGTTCTGCTCTATTCTTCGACATATATGATAAAGCCGTCCGATTAATATAAGCTTTCGAAAAGCCTTGCGAACTCAGATAATGCGAATAATTAATCGAAGTTTGCGACAAGAGCGATTTCTTGGAAAAAACACCAAACAGCTTGATATATTTATATTTCAATCGATTTTGTTAAATTGGTCTACATAACAATATATATTCACTAAGCATAGGAAAAGTAAATTTAAGTAGAGTTTAGGTCGACTTGCTGAACTTTTTTAAGCCCTTTCCGAATTATTTAGTTCCTGCATTCCTTTTATTGGTTCCAGACTGATCTAACTGATTACAATTCTTCTGACATGTTTATCTAATATCTAATTATAATGTACGTTGTACAATTCAAAAAAATTATTAAATGAGCTTCTCCATTCAAGTTGATTTCCAAAAACCTGAATTTTATATATTTTTTCCATTAATAGTTTAAAATAATGTAGCTTTTGCCAACCATGAAGAGAATTTCCAGGTGTGCGCACAAATTAATAAATTTCTTGCATGCATGCGCTGCAATGCAAAACATACCAATAACTGCTAGAAACACAAGAGTTGTTTAAAAACAGCAAAGCTAACAGCATTTTCCCGATCGTTTTTATGGAAGCTTCTACTATGGCAGCTATAAGATATGGACGTCCGATAATATAAAACCAAATTATGGAATATAATTTAATTTGTTCATATGTTTTTAGGACAAGCCAAAACTAGCCATTTTGAACATTTTCGTTAAAAAATATACAACTCGTAACCGTTCATAGAACAAGATAATTATTTTCATTGCTTCATCTATCATTTAGATTATAATTATAATTATCTTTTAGTTTTCTTTGGGAACTCGCTGTATATATCTTTTAGTCTCCTGCACCACTGGTTCCAACATCCAATTAGTTTATCGATAACAACGCAGGCGAATGTGAAAAAGTTCAAGTTCAAACAGCTGATCCGGTTTGTTTTGGGTTTTCAAGTGATATAACGAAGCCAAAACAAGCAATTAGGCCTCTATCCCGACTCATCCAGGATGTTCCAGCTGTGGCGTCCGCTGCTTCTTATTCGCAGCATGCACCTGAGCCAGCGCCGGCAAATGAGTCACTACGATGCCCTTGGAATTGCACAAAAATGCACCCAGAACGAGATCAAGGCAGCATACTACAAGCTTTCAATGCTCTATCATCCGGACAGAAATCAGGGCAGCGAGAGTGCTGCCAAGAAGTTTCGGGAGATAAATCAGGCGTACGAGATCTTAGGAAACTACCGCCTGCGCCGCCTTTACGATAAAGGGATCGTGCATACAGCGGGCGCCCAATATGCCCAGGATATCCATGATGTGGCAGAGCCCGTGGTGGAAGACGACCCTGAGACGAAGTTTTACAAGTCGCGTTTCCAGAAATCCCGGGTGGCGGACTCTGAGGGTCGAACACCAATCTATGATTTTGACGAGTGGTCTCGAAATCATTACGGGAAGTCCTTTGACCGGAGACAGGCTGCTCAGGCCAAATACGATCGAATAAAGGTCCAAAAGGAGACGAACAAAATGTCCGGCCAGACGGACTTGGTAATGCTAGCCTTTATTTTCGCAGGAGTTGCCATATACCTGATGTTTCTCGCCGAGAGCTCCTACGACACGCCCAAACAGAGAGCGGAGGAACGACACAGACGGCTGCGGGAGGAGATGGAGCTGCAGGCAAACAAGAAGCAACCCTAGAGTACTCTAGTCTACAGTGTACATAGTTAAGTTTAATCAATTTAATTAAAAGGCTATTTTTTGAGAATAAGAAACGTTGTTTTACTTTGAGTTACGGGTTAAGTTGATGAAGTGTTTAGAGCGTATTTCGATATACTCTAAATTAAATTTTCCTAATATTTTTAGATCGGCAAATGTCAAATTATAGTAAAATTCTTAAACTTTAAAGCAAGTTCCTGGCCCTATTTAGATACATTACAATATGAAAACATTTAAATAAGTTTATAAAACTAAATTAAATTATTCCCATTTGTAAATGTTATTTTTTTTCGCCTTTAAAAAATCTCATGTTTTAGTAATAAATATGTTTTATAAAATTAAATAATGTTTGAGAACCATAATAAAAGTATGTGCTTTACATTAGGAAATAATTGTTTATGGATGCGACGCCGAACAATCAACTGATCTCCAAATAAATTAAAAATCTTTGTGTGATTAACTACGTTAACTTTATTTAAAATTTCCCACTGCGCTTGCGGGCTGTGTACTTTGTATCAGGACGGGTTTCCAATCCCTGGCGCCTTCGACGCTCCTTCTTTGCTAGAATCCAATCTCTAGATTTCTTAGGGGCCTTGCCCCGTGCCTCACGGCAGGCATCACGTTTCTTGATGTAGTTTACGCGACGCTCCTCCTCAGGGGAACCTTAAAAAGCAAAAGTAAATGTTAATAAATCAGTATTTCTTAAAGATTTAAAGTGGACTCACCCAAAGCCTTTGGCAGCTCAGCCGATCCTCCAGTCATCAGCACCAGATAGTACTTCTTGGCCTTGGCGGAGTTGGGATAGTCCACAACCAAACCTCCGTAAAAGCCCGCCTTCATGGCCTGCGAGGTGACCATTTCAATTTGGTCTGAGTTCTCCGGATAAAATTGGAAGACAGCACGGGCGGTACGCGTCAGACAGGAAAACAATGTGGTAAAGAACTTCAGCAGGCGCTTGTGCGGGTTGTGGTACGACTTATCGGCATTGCAGAGCCACTGGAGGGCAGAGATCGAGATGGCGCCGTCAAAGGTGCCTGGCTTGAATGGCAAACCCTCGCCCATGTCGCCCAGTATCACATCTCCAGCCACTTCCCGCTCCACCGCAATATCTAGCATGGATTTTGATATGTCAATGCCGATCCACATGTGATCGCTGTCCTCGAGAACGCTACCCGAGAGCCCAGAACCACAGCCAATATCCAAAATCAAGCGTGTTTCATCGCCGTCTTCGGGAAAAGCCAGCAGTTCCAAGGCACGCTCGGCCATTTCCACTTGGATCTCAATGATGCGTGTGCTTAAATAACCATTTTTGTATTCAGACCTGATTTTTTAAGAAATTTACTTACTTAGTAGAATATTTTTTGGCCTCATCATCGTTGTAAAACTATAAAAAGAGTAAAAAATCAGATAACTGACTTAATTTTATCAAAAACATCCTCACAATTTCCGGTGGTGCTGCATGCTCTGGTCTTCTGGCCATTTTACCTCTTAATAATTTACAAAATTCAGGAGCGTTTTTACATAAACAAAAAAACAACTACACGTGCAGTCTGCAAGCAGCTGTTTGCCATTCCCAGCGCAAGTTTGGTTTATCGACTCGAATATCGCTATCGGCCAAGCTATCGAACTAGCCTACACCAACACATCACAGTATAGTGAAAATTTTTGAAAAATTAAATTTTTCATTTAAAATAAAAACAATAACTATGTGAAAAGCGGGACTTGAAGTGAAAACCTGGCAGTGCACCAAGTAAAACGGTGAGTTGCGCATAAAAACGCCCACGATTTGATAACAAAGAACCATTTGCATGGAGCCCCTTGGGTGTGGGTGTGAGCCTGTGCAAGTTGTTACCTGTGTGTGTGTGTAATGGGTCTGACGCGTCAACAAATACACATGACAGTTGTTGTGCAGCCGGAAATGCAAAAAAAAAAGGTGTTTGTGTGTGAATCCGTTAGTTATCCGCCAAATAACTAATGGCACGATTTATGTAGGAAACCCGTTTTGCTGGCCCGTTTACCTTGCTCCAATTTACTCAACAAAAAGCGAAAACTCTTCTACCGAGCAAACATAATAACAACAACAGGTTAATGCTTCACAGGTAGAATTTATGCTCGTTTCCTTTCTAGCTCTCTTTCCAACTGTTTGGCGAAATGCTTTCGGCTCTCCCGCTCTCATTATTGATCAATAACGGCTATCAGTGCCTCTGAAAATGTATCGTAAGGAAGTGCACTTTTAACTTTCATTACGTTTGATGTAAGTTCTTTGTGCTTTGTCCAAATAAATAAAGCACCCAAATTCAGGTTTATAAGCTGCTCATCGGTTCTTAGTCTGTGCTTTTTTTCCTTTTGCATATTTATGAGCAAACAGGTTTTTTGGCAACGGAACTTCTTTCACTCTTTCCAAGAACAACATTCCCTTATCCGATCGCCGACGGTTACAAATTTTACGCAACAAGGCGCGATCGCGGTCGCTGGCCTCTCCACTCAACAAGTTTGCCAAAACACCAAGCAAAAAAAAGCGGGTGAAGAGCTGAAACCAAAACCGATGCTTTAAATACACTCAGAAATTGGTGTTTTAAAGGTGTTCAATGTAAAATATTTTATGCGAGGAAAATGTAAATTCTTTGCACCCTGAACTTATTTTCAACATTATATTACAATAGGTTTGCAACAGTTTTTACAATATTATTCATTTGAAAAAAGTTTTAAACGGCTTTAGCCTTTTATTTACATTAAAAACTTCTTTCAATTAAAGATTCTATACAAAATTGAACACACATAAATTGTGACCTGAACTTATTTCAAAAAGATTTAATGTATTTTAAAAGGTTTTTGATAAAAGTCATTATAAGGCTTAACACGAAAACATCCTTACGAAATTAAACGGCCTTACCTTATTTAAACAGATACAATTATCTCTACCAAGTACTTTGCAAGTCCGGAAAATTTGAACAAATCTAACAACAAAATCGTGTACATAACTCCATTTTCAAACTGCTTAATTATGTTTTGAAAATGATATGTTTAAGTTATTTATTCATTTAAAATCTGGCAGCTTATACATCTGACATATATACATAAATATGTAAAAGTAAATTTAAAAAACTTAAAATTTTTTCTTGAAAACGTTACCTAAAATATTATTCTGTTTTATATTAGATCCAGCTTTAAAATAAATTCTATAAATTAAATATTAAAGCATACAACTTTTGTAAGCTTTAAAATCTTTCTCAAATTGGAAAACCCTCTGGTAGTGTATAAACTTAAAGCCAAGCCGCTGTCATCCATTTTGGAAACCAGATACAGATACGGGAACAAAGACAGATACAGAGCCAACTACAGATGCTCGATGGCTGCTGGGAAGAGTCGCATCAGTTGCGTGCGTCTATTCCCCCAGAGCCAACCGTACCCTCCGGAAGAAAGTTAAAAAATCAAGAAATGCGCAGTGGGTTATCGCTTTGTCCACTGCTCGTGGTGCTACTGGTAGATCACCTAGTGGCTCCAGTGGCGCCGGCTAACCTACTGACCAGCTATCTGCCCGCTTCCATGCAGGCCTTGGCATATTATATAGATCTGCTACAGTATGAACCACTGTCCAGCACGACAGTGGGACCACCTTTCAGTGCGGATGATGGGGTGGAATATACAACTGCGAATCCACTGACATCCACAGCATTGCCCACAAGAATGAGGAGCACTACGACCAGGAGACCGAGTGGAGCAGGAGGTTCGGGCTCAGCCTGGTGGCAGCCACCAAGTTGGTGGGAGACTCCACATAGAACTTCTACTACTGAGAAACCCACTTCACCACCCACGTTACCGCATCATCCGGGGATTTTCGCTCCAGCTTCCAAGCGGGCAAATGAGTTTGAAGGCCATGCTCTTTTTGAAGAAATCGGAGATGATGCGGACTTTGACAAGCTTCCTTTGTCTCTTATCCGCGATATACAAAGCGAACACGACGACTTTACGAATGATGTGGAGTCGCTGGACAACTTTTTGCGTCTCTACGACGACAATTACGGAAGGGCTGCCTTTGATTTTGAGTCCGCCATGGATCGGTGGAGCAGCTCCTCGATAGCAGGGAAGAAGAGGGTTCCACCCACAAAGCCCTATGTGGATTTCCTATTGGTTTACGACCTTCTAAAGCGCGATGCCAAGGCGGCTAATCTGAGCAAGTACGAAGGATATTCTGAAGATCTGCTCGAGCAGCTGCATGAATTGTCACAGGCCTCTTCGGCCAGGCAATTGTATACTCTGTTTCAAAGGATGCTGGACCGGGGCGATGTTCAGCGAAGTGACGTGGTGGCCCGCGTCCAAGGAATCGTCAAAGATTTGGGGAATCCCAAAAGCGCCACATCCAAGGCATTGGCTTTTATTCCTAGTATGCAGTTTCTACCTTAAGCTCCTAGATAAGTCGCAATAAAGTCGAGGGACCAGTTTTTCTACGATAATCAATGAATCGAAACCAAGTTAAAGGAGGCAAACCTGAATTATTTCTTTAAACATTCTTTGTTGGAAAGTTTGGTGAAAAAAAATTTATGCTCGGCTTGGAGAGGGTTTTTCAATTTTGGCAAGAAGTCTCAAACGAAATTAAGTAGACATCTTAATCCTAATCCATTAGGAGAGTAAATATTTTTAGATTTTAACAAGAAAGGAAAGCTAACTTCGGGCGGATCCAAAGTTGATATACCCTTGCAGAATATTCTGTAAATTATATTCTCCAAATTATTCATGCATCAGCATTCTTCTCTAGCTGTTCGGCCATTTATGCATATATTAAACCCATTCTTTTTTAAAACATAATTATAATTTATTGAGTTCATTGACGTATTTTTTTTTAATTTTTCAACAGTGTCTTATATTTTATTTTTATACCCTTGCAGAGGGTATTATATTTTCAGTCAAAAATTTACAACGCAGTGAAGGAGACATTTCCGACCCTATAAAGTATATATATTCTTCATCAGCATCACCAGGAGAGTCGATCTAGCCATGTCCGTCTGTCCGTCCGTCTGTCCGTCCGTCCGTCCGTCCGTCCGTCCGTCCATTTCTACGCAAACTAGTCCCTCAGTTTTAAAGCTATCTGCTTGAAACTTTCCCTAAAGTTGTCTTTCTATTGCAGGTAGTATATAAGTCAGAACGAGCCGGATCGGGCGACTATATCATATAGCTGTCATATAACTGAACGATCGGAAAAGCCATAACGTTGGTGTTTATACCCGTTACTCGTAGAGTAAAAGGGTATATTGTATTCGTGCAAAAGTATGTAACAGCTAGAAGGAAGCGTTTCCGACCCTATAAAGTATATATATTCTTGATCAGGGTCACTAGCCGAGTCGATATAGCCATGTCCGTCTGTCCGTCTGTCTGTCTGTCCGTATGAACGCTGAGATCTCGGAAACTATAAAAGCTAGAAGATTGGCATTTTGCATGCAGATTCTAGGAGTTCCTACGCAGCGCAAGTTTGTTTCAAAAAGGTGCCACGCCCCCTTTAACGCCCACATTCGCTTATATACGATTTTAAAAATTTAAATATTTCGGAAAAGTAAAAATGCAGTTTTATTGTGTTTATCAATACCTATCGAAATGTAGAAATCGGACCATTCGTTATAAAGTTATGCGTGATCAAAGTTTCTATCTCCATCTCCCTCGCACTCCCTTTACTTGAGTAACGGGTATCTGATAGTCGGGGCACCCGACTATAGCGTTCTCTCTTGTTTTAAGTTAGAAAGTTGGGATTTTTTATGAGTATTAAGAATGCATCATATGAATAATTTTGGAGAATATAATGTACATAATATTCTGCAAGGGTATATCAACTTTGTTTTAGATGTTATCGTGTGTCTTCGGATTTTCCTCTCAAGAAAATCCCACAAATGCTCAATTGGGTTTAGATCAGGACTCTGGGGAGGTGTTCGCAGCTGATTTTTGACGTTATACAGCAGCCAAAGCTTGGTATTCTGTGCCGTGTGCTTCGGGTCGTTGGAAGCAATATTCACGTTCGAGCCCTAATTTTTCAGCACTTTCTTTTAAATTGTTTTTTAATATGTCAATATAGATTTTTTGATCCATTATTGACTCGATAAATACCAATTTTCCAACGCCACTTGCTGCCATACACCCCCACATAATTATTCCGCTTCCTCCTTGCTTTACTGTGCCAACCAAATTTTCTTTATTAAAGGCTTCTCCGCTTTTCCTTCATACCAAAACCTTTCCCTTGATTCCAAGTATGCAGAATTTACTTTTGTCGGAAAATTGAACCTTATTCCAGAAGTCTTGGTTTTTGGAAAAATATACTCATTAGTAAAGGTTAGGCGCTTTTGTCTATTGACTTCCGATATGAGAGGTTTTTTGCGAGCGATTCTGTTATGGTAGTCAGGCTTTTTTATGGTCCGGCGTACAGTATCCTCGGAAACTGTTTTGGAAAATCTATCCTCGACCTTCAGCTTTGCTTGATGAGCTGTCGTCCTTCGGTTGAGCTGAATAGATTTGATAATATTCCTCTGCTCGCGGTTTATAAACAAAGGCGGACGGCCAGAACGAGCCTTTGGCAAGATTCTTCCAGTCGAGTTGTAGTTATTTATCACTCTTTGGATGGATGAGTGGGTTCTACCAACTAAAGCACCAATTTCTCTGTAAGATTTTCCATCCAAAAAACCTTTTAATATAATTTTCCACTTCTCAACAGAAATTTCCTTGCCTCTTTGTTGCAATATGCTCGTTATTGTAATGAAAGAGTTTCATTATACCCTTGCAGAGGGTATTATAATTTTGGTCAAAAGTGTGCAACGCAGTGAAGGAGACATCTCCGACCGTATAAAGTATATATATTCTTGATCAGGATCACCTCCTGAGTTGATATAAGCATGTCCGTCTGTCCGTCTGTCTGTTTCTACGCAAACTAGTCTCTCAGTTTTAAAGCTATCGAATTGAAACTTTGGACACACCCTTCTTTCCTTTGCACGCAGTATATATAGGTCGGAACGGCCGGGATCGGCCGACTATATCCTATAGCTGCCATATACAGTCATGGAAAAAATAATAGAAACGACAATTTTTTTCGTATTTTTCAAACTTTTCTTCAGTCAATTTTTTTTTTTTTTAAGTTTAATAATTTTGATTTATAGTCGATTCAATTATGTGTCAAAATATACCAAAACAATAATTTTCAAAAAACGTTATGAACTAAAAAATAATTTTTAAAATGTTTAGGCCTGGAAAAAATAATAGAAACGACTGAGTTAATTCTATGAAAAACAGTTTTGTAGCTTCAAAGCCTATTAGTTTAGATGGTAACTTTAATATATAGTTGTGCCACCGCTATTTTTAATGACTTTGGTTCAGCGGTGTCCCATTGAATCCACCAAATTGGCACAAAATGATGGTTCAATGGAGTACCACTCAGAATTTACTTTCTTCCACAAATCTTCCCTAGTTTTGGACTTAAACCCACCAAGCCTCTTCTTTATTATCCCCCAAAGGTGCTCTATAGGATTTAAGTCTGGGGACTGCGAAGGCTATTCCATCAAGGGAACTTCGTTGTCTACAAACCATTTCTTGGCCAGCTGTGAAGAATGGTTCGGGTCATTATCCTTCTGAAACTTCCATTCAATTGGCATTTCCTCTTCAGCATAACGTAGCATTATGCTGTCGAGTAAGTCTACGTAGTGGGTGGCACACATTTTTTCCTCTATCCAATGTATTGGACCAAAACCCGACTGGGAAAAGCATCCCCACAACATGAGTTTCGCACCTCCATGTTTAACGGCTTTAATAGAGGACTTTGGATCGTGGGCGGTATTCTTAGGGCGCCATACATGTGGTTCCCCATCAGATCCAAACAAATTCATCTTGGTTTCGTCCGACCACAACATATTTTTCCAATTGGAGCGCAATAAATGCACCTTCGCGAAATGTACACGTTTGTCGATATTTTTCTTGCTGAGGTATGGTACCTTTCGGTGTGAATGGGCTTTTAGATCGGCTTCAATCAGCCTATTTCTTATGGTTCGACTTGTAACCGGTGCATTCAAATCATTTTTGATATGTTTCGACGAGAGAAAGGTATTTTTATTTGATTTTCTAACAAGCCGCCTGTCGAAATTCACCGATGTTGCGCGCTTATTATTGTGATGAATCGCCGTAATCGCAGTCCCCAGACTTAAATCCTATAGAGCACCTTTGGGGGATAATAAAGAAGAGGCTTGGTGGGTTTAAGTCCAAAACTAGGGAAGATTTGTGGAAGAAAGTAAATTCTGAGTGGTACTCCATTGAACCATCAATTTGTGCCAATTTGGTGGATTCAATGGGACACCGCTGAACCAAAGTCATTAAAAATAGCGGTGGCACAACTATATATTAAAGTTACCATCTAAACTAATAGGCTTTGAAGCTACAAAACTGTTTTTCATAGAATTAACTCAGTCGTTTCTATTATTTTTTCCAGGCCTAATAATTTTAAAAATTATTTTTTAGTTCATAACGTTTTTTGAAAATTATTGTTTTGGTATATTTTGACACATAATTGAATCGACTATCAATCAAAATTATTAAACTTAAAAAAAAAAAAAATTGACTGAAGAAAAGTTTGAAAAATACAAAAAAAAATTGTCGTTTCTATTATTTTTTCCATGACTGTAACTGATTGATCGGAAATGCCATAACTTTGGTGTTTGTAAAGTTAGGAAGTTGGGATTTTCTATGGGCTTTATATTTAGCCAACTAATCCGACCTACCAAATTTCATAAGGATCTGCCGACTATATCCTATAGCCGCCATATTATTAATTGATCGGAAATGCCATAACTTTGCTGTTTGTAGGATTTTCTATGGGTTTTATATTTGGCCATTCAATACGACCTACCAAATTTCATAAGGATCGGGCGACTATATCCTATAGCTGTCATATAACTGAACGATTGGAAATGCCATAGCTTTGGTGTTTTTAAAGTTAGCAAGTTGAGATTTTTTATGAGTATTAAGAATGCATCATATGAATAATTTTCGAGAATATAATTTACAGAGTATTCTGCAAGGGTATATCAACTTCGGCTCCGTCCGAAGTTAGCTTTCCTTTCCTTTTTTATTGTTTTTTCGGATTTGGTAATATTTAAATATTCACCCAACAGCCTTTTTTCAGGCCCTGCATGATGGTTTCTACAAATGAATTGCTTCAAGAAAAAATCCACCGGCTTGAAAAGGGTTCTAACATAAGCTCTTTGCTTGGGGAAAGGATTATTAAATCATACGAGAAGGTTGAAAGGACCCAAAAGTCGATTGGCATACTCAGATATAAATTTCGCTGCACTAATAGGTTGTTTTAGACTTTTAAAATCTATTGATTTTTTCTAGGCTCAATTCGTTTGTAGAAACCATCATGCAGGGCCTGAAAAAAGGCTGTTGGGTGAATATCCTTACCAAA